AGGCCAGGCCTTGGGAAGAGCGTGGCCCCACGTGGCATGACTGAAGTGGAAACGTTCCCGTTTGCCGCACTCCCTTTGTGTTTTCCTTCCTGTTTAACCTCAGCGAGGGCAGAGGGGCCCCAGGGTGGCTCCAGCACTGGTGGGAAAGAGAGGCAGACGTGGGTTTGGAAAGGGAGGACGGGCAAGGGGCGGGGGGGGGGGGTGGAATCTTAAAACTGAAGTCATCCCGCAGCAGGATTGTTGTTAAACGAGCATCTACATTAAATTTCAGAACAGATCCTCCAGTGACACTCGCTCTGTCGTTTCATTTGTCCCGGCCGCTCAGGAAGAGCGCATAGTCTGGCTGCGTAGTCATTTCTCTTTAATTATGTTTGGTTCCCTGCATGTAGCTACTGTGGGATTTCTGGAGTAGGGCAAAACCTCTGCTTGTGCTGGAAGCCCGTACAGAGGCTGGAAGGTGCCCAACGTATTCCCGTCCCCTGCGTACAGTGTTATTCCTTAGGCCGGCCCGTTGAAAAGCTCAATTATTATTTTTCAGAGTTGAACTGCTAGGGATCGTCTCTAAGACCGATCTCCCCGAGAGCCTATAAACTGCTGCCGCCAGGATGGGCTTGTGTAACGGTCAGGTTGACGTTAATGCCGACTCGAGCCGCTGGCTCTGGATTTACGCCGGGCGTAATGGAAATCAGAATCTGTCCCTCTGTCACTGTGAAGGTGCTGGCAGACTCTGCCGGCGTTTTGCATGTTCCTGCAGAGATAGCAGCACATCTAAATTGGCAGCTGAGTATCATAAGCTTGACACTTGGATTTAATTAAGTTCACATCTGCCTGGATACCCAAAGTGGCTGAAACGGCCCCGAGCCTGGGCTATAAGAAAGCAGGAAATTGAGGTCAAGGCCCAGCAGCAATTCTCAGGGTTCAGCGCGGAGAAAAACAGTTACACCCAGACGAAAACGGGTCTGCCGTATGCCCGTTTCTGGGTCACCTTCTTCCCTCTGTCCGTCTCGGGGAAATCGGTGAAAGAACCCCCGGAGAGTCCTAAATAAAATCTGTAGCTGGTAGAGCGCAACGTAGAGTGTTTTGGCAGCGATTTGAGAAGGGAAAATGTAGGGTGCCGCACATGAGATCTTGCCTGGAGTTTTACCAAGCACCTCAGCTAGGTGAGTGGAACACCTGGGAGGTGTCTTAGAACATGCTATTTCTTACAAAACGTTGCTCCAGAGGCTTACAGCGGAGGATTTTTTTGTTAATACTTTTAAGCATCGAGATACAAGACAAAGCTCTGGGGTTTTTTTTGTATTTGGGTTTATGCAGAAAGACTTTTAAGCTGGTACAAAGCCTGTCTGAAATCATTTACGGCTGCCCGTGGGTCCAGGGGTCCATTCGCCTGAATTCAATTGCAAATTAGGGTCTAGAAATGTTAAGAGGAAATGGCCAAGCTGAAGCAGTTCTTTATAAAGCAGCTACGTTTACTTTATTTCATGATTACTAAGGTGGATTTAATTAGAAAACATCTCTGTTTTCAGCTGAATAATGCTCTTTGTTTAGTGTTTGAGCCATTTGGGAAAATGGAAATAGGTTAGCCAGCGTTGCTCAGGAGCAGCTTTTATTCCTACGTCCTAGTTCAGCGCAAAGCGCTGTGGGTGCTGATGCTGCAGAGAGTTGTCAGAATCCAGCCAAGATAATCCACGCAACTGAATTCTTAAAAAGATGGAAATAAGTGTTCAGCGTAGTCTTTGGAGGGGGCAGTCTCTGGGAGAATCTGATGCTCCTCTAATTGCTTTTTTTATTCCGTTCATCCCCTGCAATGGGAATTGCTAGGTGAATTTGGGAGCCGGCACTTCTGGGGTGTGGGATCTGGCTGCCTGAAATCTGTGGGAGCTTTCTGCCCTCGTTGTTGGGGAAGGAGGGGGAACGAGCTTCTGCAATTATTGGTGTTGGGGTGATGAAAGGAAAAGTCTGACATACGATTTCAAAGGCTGGCTGCTGCTGGGCTTCCGCAGGCAGAATTCCCATTGAGATCTGTGGAAACTTGTGTGGGACCGCTGCAGAATCTCATTTGTTTTCCCCGTTCACAGCAGCCGCTTCTGCAGAGGTGGAGCGCAGGAGCCAGCAGCTGAAGCAGGAAGCTTTTATGTTACCAGGAACTTTGGGAGACTGTGGCGTAAGATGCGGAAGGGGGATTTTTCAATACTTAAAAGCCACAGCAGAGCCTGCCGGTGGGCCAGACGCTGAGGGTAGGAGCGTTCCCTCTGGATTCCAGCAGCCCCACCACAGTGCAGCAAAGCTGGCTGCCAAACTCTGGGATGATCTAGTAAAGGATGGGGGAAAATTACGGCTTAATGTTCATTAAGCAGCACTTGGTTTTGGTTTCTTGGGCTGGAGTAGGACAATTTCAGACCTCAAGCCCTCCAGAGCCGAGTGACACCCTCCAAGCAGGAGCCAGGTCTGACTGCGTTTGCGGGTGAAGCAGCGTGCGGTGGCATCGGGGAGAGATGGCTGGCTGAGCAGCACCGCCTCCCAACGCGGTATTTCACCTGGAGAACAAGGAAGGGGCCTTAAAACAAAGAGATTTCAAGTTCAGTTGAGTCTCTCAACATTTTACCTTCAGTGTGAAGGTTTGCAAGGCGATTCAAAAAAATCGGAAGACCTTTCCATTGAATGCAACTGGATGCAGATGGAGGAGACTGCGTTTTAACTTGTGGTGTGAGGCCCGAGAGATTTCCAGGGGACTTGATTTTGAAGCGGCAGTTCTCGGGAGTGGGGGAAGGAAGGGGGTTTGGCGCAGTTGCTCGTGAGATGCCAGGTTGGACGGCAGGCAGGAGGGCTTGGCAGAGCTGCCTGAGCTCGGCGTGCTCGGCTCTGAGGGATTGCCTGTTGCTGCTGCTCTTCCCGCTGATTCTGAGGCTGTGATTGATTCTGACCCTGTTTTATTTATAAAATCTTTATTTCTTGCGCTGGTCTCCGTGCCATTTTTTAAACGCATTTGGCTGTCAAGGTGTCAAAAACTGGAGAGAATTGCTTTTGGAGTTTATCTCGCAGTCCATCCATCTTTGGCATTTATCAGGTACCTTTATTTCACTCGGGAGAGAACTTAACAGCTCCTGCTGGGTATCTGTTGCACCTCCAGCAAGGACAGCCGATGGGGACTGGGCTGCACTTAATCACAAACCCCATCTGCCCTACCAGGGTCTGGGCTGCTCCAGGCCCAGCACGGATGAGAGCACCCAAATTCTGTCCTGTTACTTCTCGATGCTCCACAGCAGAGGCTCCAGACTACAAATACATGTGTGATGAGCCCCTCTCCCCTGTGGGAGGAGAAGGGCCGGGCGTCTCCAGGTTGCTCTCAGTGGCCGTGGAGTTGGGGGTTCTTTCCTCCTGGCTGTAAGGCTGTTGTGATCTTAGTTATTGCAAGTGCTGTGCTCGGCGAAGCAGACACATCTTGCTGCCATAGGCTGGGGAGGATGAGGAGAGCAGTCCTCGATGTACCGGAGTAAAGAGGTGGCTAGGTGACCTGAACGAAATGTTATGTCCTTCCGTGTTTGTAATGCAGCTTCCCACTTGCCTTACAGGTGAGGTCAGCTTTTTTTTTTTCATCTTTGAGGAGTTGCCGAGTTTCTTCCTTACCTTGTAGAGACGGACATGGGGGAATTGCCTTCCTCTTGCATGGCAGCTTGTGGAGGTTGTCTGGGGTTTAAGTCCTGGGGCCCCGGGTGGAGTCTGTGGCATGGACCTCTAGCTCCTCCTGTTTGCACATCGGATGGTTTCTGCTGCAGCTTCCCTGGTGCAGGTGGTGGCTGGGAGCCGCTGGCTCTCTGGGATCTCTGCTTTGTGTGATCTGAACTCCAGCACACTCAGGGAAGGAGAATTCTTTCAGCAGAGACATTGTTGCTTTGGGTAACGGAGGTAAGAAATGCAGATCGGAGCCTGCTCTCCCATGTACGTGCAGCAGATGCTGCCTTACCAGTCTCTGATGGACAGGAATATGTACTATTGGGTCTCACCTCTTTTCTCTGTCTGCCAACCCTGAATGATTTGAGTTCTTCTCCTTTGGAAGCAGGCGCTGTAAATCTCGGTTCCTCCGTCGCCAGGGCAGGCATGGCTGGGCGCTGAGGGCTGATGGTTGCCAGGCCACGCTGACGCTGCTCTGCCGGAAGAGAGATGGGGAAAAGATACTTCTGTGACTACTGTGACAGGTCCTTTCAGGACAACCTTCACAACAGGAAGAAACACCTCAATGGAGTGCAGCATCTCAGGGCTAAGAGAGTCTGGTACGACTTATTCCGAGGTGGGTACTACCAAGTGTCTGCCACTCCCTTTCTGGGACCGGGATAGATAAAATAAATCAGCACTGATGATTTATATTCAGATTGTCTGTGCCAGTAAATTGTGGACTTGATACTGTTGCTGTCAAGCGGTCTCAGAGGCAAAAACCCTCATGTGTCTGGATGTGGGAAGGGGAAACTGTAGACGTCAGCTGGGACTTGAGATGAGGTGGAAGAGATAGGTTATTTCTGAGAACAGGAGTTGCAGATAAAGCTCTCTTGGCACCACGGGCAAATCTGAGACAGGAGACCTGAGAGAACAAAGTGAGTTATAGTTTCTGAAGGTGAGTTAGGTGCCTTCTGCAAACCAGAGTTGATCTCTGACGTGTGAGGAGCAAGGAATATAGGTGTGTATGCGTGTCGATGGAGAAAGCGGGCTGGAAGGCAGGCTGTACACACGTGTTGTGTGAACAGGCGGGGAGCTGGCAGCAGATCTCTGCACTGGGCGGAGATGTTGGTTCTGAGGGTGGCCGCAGGAGAGGCTGAGGATGCGACTGCTTGACTGGAGATCCCAGAAGGGTGAGGGGGTTGGGGAAGCAGCTCAAAGCACGGTACGCTCAAACCTATCTTAGCCAAGGCGGGGAGTAGAGGAGGAGGGCTAGATGCATTGGGGCTTTGGCAGAGGAGGGGATTGGAGTTCTGGGGCTGGAGGCTGTGTCAGGATGTGCTGGCGGGCAGCCCTGTGTCCTTTATCTGTTTCACAGGGCTGTCCTCCCCCGGCTCAGCGCTCTGACCTGGCTCACCACCCACTTACCTGTGTTTTAGTACCAGCCCGAGGAATATGGTGGGAATGTGGGTCCAGGGTCCCGAGAGCAGGACTGTGTATTTTGGCAGTAGCAAAGACTTAGTTTGGGTTAAGCTGATTGTGAAACCGTTGCTTGTATGTTCCTCTGCTTCCTTCTGGTTCCTCAGGATCAGGAGTTTCAGGCTGCGTTTGTCTCCTGGCTAGCTAGGCGAGGAATACGCTGCGGAGCTCTGGGTGCAACCATACGTGGAAGTTGGAAAGGCTCTCAAGCGTGGAGGACCAACAGCCCCAGCCCAGCACAGTTCTAGCTGGGTTAGTGATGCAGATTACCTAGCACTTTTCTTCTCACCAGGCTGCAACCCTTGATTTCCCTCCGATTGATAAAATTCCTCATCCCATCCCTGATTAGGGCGTTCATCTCCTCCTGTCTCCAGACTCTGTGGCCTGGCATCAGCCAGTGCAGGTTCTTACAGTCTATGGGAACTGCTGTGTCTTTGGGGCTCGCTTTCCCCAGGACGTCTCCAGAAGGTGAAGGACCGTTTCAGTGGTGTCCACTGGAGAATCGGCACAGGGTTCTGTGAGGCCTCGCACAGAGCTTTTCCGAGAGCTCTGTGAGTCTGCCTGGTCTTTCTCTGCTGCACAGAAGTGCTGCAGAGTCCTTGCTTTTCTGTCATGCTTCTTTTTCCCTACTGGCATGGGGAGAAAGCATGGAGCAGAAAGCAAAGAAGGTGATATCTGCAAGCCAGTGAAAAGCTGAAGCCAGGGGTACAAATAGGGACTGTTAACTGTCAATTTGTCTGTGGCTTAAGTTCACAGTTGTCATGTAAAATGGCTTCCCACTAGGCAACTGACCTCTTTGGGACCATGATACGATGGGGTATTGCTGTGCAAGAGAACTTTACCCTGTTTTGTCCTTTGTCTCGCCTAGATGCTGCCGCTATCCTGCAAGAGGAGCAAACAAAGAAACCTTGTCGGAAGTTTCTGCAAACAGGTGAGTTCTTCTGAGGTAGAAATAATTGTCTGAGCTCCGGCAGCTCCTCCGTGAGCCAGCCCAAGGCTGTTCTGGAGAGCCCTGGTATGTCTGTTTGTCTTGGAGGGAGTGAAGGGCTTGGGCCTGTGTGTCTGGCATGCACGTGTAATGGATCTTGGGTTTGCATGCACATTTACAAGGGAGGACCTTGTCTGTGCGGCTCTCACGGAGCTCCGTGGCTTTTGTTCCAGGACAGTGTGATTTTGGGTCCAACTGCAGATTTTCCCACATGACAGAGCAGGACCTGGAGAAGCTGAGTGCCCAGGTTCAAGGTGAGTCCTTGAACAAGAAAATGTCCAGGGGTCTCTGAGGAGGGGGGGTTGCTTCAGGGAGCGTGGGCTGCAAAGGGGCGCGTGAGGGGTTGTGCAGCGAGAGCCTGCGGTCCTGTGCTGCCTGTACACAGCAAGCCAAGCGTGGATCCCTCCCGCCTGCCTCCCAGTGCTATGTGAGCCTGTAGCGTGGCTGTAAGCGCTGCAGTTTTTCATATGCTTTCTGCTCTTGATCTGCTGGCACAGACACAAACCTAGAGTTGAGCAATGCTGTTACTACTTAGCAGCAAGCATCTGAAGCAGAGAGTGGGCTTTCTGAGCCCTCGGGGTTTTGTTCAGACAGGGAATAAAAACTGTCAGCAGCAGAGGGCACTGGTACATCACTTCCCCTTAAATTTATAGATTTGATTTCCCCCCACCTCTCTGCTATTACCAGGGAGCTGCTGCTTCCACTCCTGGGAGGAGCTAGCCTGCTGTCAGTTGGGTTGTCCTGAGGAGAGGACATGGGGTCTTGGATCCAGAAATGGCCTCTGCTCACGTGGCTTTGGGTGGAACTGAAGTTCGGGCAGAGGATGAATGGCAGCTGCTCCCCTGCTCCGAGTCCTCAGAGCACTTTTGAACTTTTTCATTCTGGGAGTACCACCTCCTTGCCCTAAAAGGGGTGGCAGCTCTGTTTTCTCTATAGGATTCATTACCTTGGTGGTTAGAGAAAATGTGAGTGAGGCGTTGGTGAGAACTTACGGAATGGTTGAGGTCTCCACTGGAGATCGTCTAGTCCCAACCCTACCTTGCTCAAAGCAGGGTAAACTACAGCAGGTTGCTCAGGACCGCATCCAGTTGTGGTAAACTACAGCAGGTTGCTCAGGACCGCGTCCAGTTGTGTTTTGAGTATCTCCAAGGCTGGAGACTCTACAGCCTCTGTGGGCAACCTGTTCCAGTGTTTGACCACGTTTGCAATAAAAATGTGTTGGTTTTTTTTAACACTTAAATGGAAATTCCTGTGTTTTGGTTTGTGCCCATTGGCTCTTGCCTTTGCTGGGTTCCATCCAGCGTGTCCCTGTCTCTGTGGTACTGGGGAGCCCAGCGCTGGACACAGCACCCAGACGTGGCCTCACCAGTGTAGAGCAGAGAGGAAGGATCTCTTCCTCGACCTGCTGGCAATGCTTTTCCTAATGCAGCCACTTCTGAGCAAACCAGACGTGGCCTCACCAGTGTAGAGCAGAGAGGAAGGATCTCTTCCTCGACCTGCTGGCAATGCTTTTCCTAATGCAGCCCAACTTCTGAGCAAATCTTGTGCCCACACTGCTAGCTGAAGCCAACTGTTGTTTTGCCAATAGTCTGGCAAAAACAGGCTTAAGTGTTGAAAGTGTGTCTGTGTGTGTACGTGCATGCATACATGAGAGATCTGGGGGGTGCGTGGGGTAGAGACTCTCTCCTGGCCTTCTGAGGGATCAGATTTGGGGAGGCTGGGCTCTGGTGAACCTGGGGGAGCAGGAGGAAGGCAGGCACTACAGAGCTATTCCAGTCCTCGCCATTGCTGAGTCAGTCTGCGAGTCCCCGAGGCGACTCTGTGAATCAATCGCTGAACAACGCTGGCAGTCAATAAAACCCATCTCGTCGGGCTGCGCGGGAGACGGAGCGCTCCAGCCAGCCCTTCTCGGAGCGGCACTGCTGGGCTGGCAGTCGCGCTCCTCTTCCCGCTGCTAGCCCAGAACCTCTCCCTGACCCTTCTCTGCTACGGGGTTTAAGTGCTGGGCTCCCGGGAGGTGGCATAAGATGTCAGCCTATTTGCAGGAACCTGTAGCATTTCCAGTCACTGAAGGCTGTTTATTGCAGGGGGAGTGAAAGCTCTTCAGAGCAGAGCGGAGCTGCAGGAGAAGGCTGGCAAGCTCCTCTGCGCTTGGGCAGGTTTCGTTGCCAATTACACTTGTTATTGAATATTGACTTCTGTCAAATGGGTCTGGTGTAAGTGGAGAACTGGCTAGTGAGAGAGCTGATTCCTGGGAGGTTACTTGGAAACCTTGCATTTGTATTACCAAGTCAAACATTTAATTAAACAATTAGACTTCAAGGAGCAATGGCCAGGGGATGGCAGGGTGCCTTGTCCTTGGCTGTGCTGCTCTAACACGAATGCCTGGTTGTAGAGTTAAATCCTGCTCATCTCTCTTGCGGTGTTGCTCCATGGAAATCCCATCTGAGCCGAGCGAGCAGGCTGAGCATCACACAGACCTCTAAATCTGATCAGTTGAGCCCGCGGAGAGCTTGGAGGGATTTGATGGAGGGAAGAGCTCAGCAGGACGTGGTGGAGAAGAGGTGCAGCCCATAACATGGTAGACTGGATGGAAGGAACAGCTGCAAAAGCCAAGCCGCTGTTCGGTGTGTCATGGGGACATTTCACCACTCCTTAGGCTACTGAAGCATCGGTGTCTCAGGTGGTGAGGCGTAGGGCAGAGTTTAAGGCAAGCTTGTGTGATGGCAGGTTGGACTGCAGGTTGCATTAGTCACACAGGAGACCCGATCCTTGTAGCATGTCCGTCAGGCGCCGCCGTCAGTAATGTCCCTGTGTGCATTAGCACCTAGTCCCGGTGTTTCTGTGCTACGAGGCATCGCAGGCCACAGCCAGTGAGATGATACAGTACAGGTTAGAGCAGTGGTCTGGATCAGGCTGCCTCTCACTGAATTGTCAGTGTCCTCAGAGATTTCCCGTCTGAACCCGCAGCGTCTGGGAGATTTTGACAGGCTCGCAGCCTGGGGTGGTCGGGGATTTGAGACGAGCTGAGAGCCTGGAAGCTCCAGAGCCCTCTCACCATTTTGTGCAGAGCCTTGTGTGACCGTGCTGGAGATGACCACGCTCTGCCTCTGGTGGGGTAAAAGTGGACAGTCTCTTGGTGGGTCCGCAGTGCTGCTTAACTCCGCTTTCCTCAGCTCTGGTGCATGGGCGTAGAAGCAGAGGAGCTGTCAGACTGCGTTGAACCTGTCTCTCCCCTTGTCCAGGGGCAGATGCTTCAGAAAAAGGTGCAAAGAAATCCTGTAGTGAAGTGGTGTAGCGCACTAACCCTTGTTCAGGGGTGGGCTTGCATCCTGAACCACAGCAAAGCCTTTTCTGACTTCTTTTAACACTGCTAAACCGTGTTGGCACTTTCTTTGTCATGTAAATATTGAACCTGTCCCTGAATCCCTGTTAAGTGTTTGGTGTTGGTAGCTCTGTGTCAGTGAGCTCCCCTTGCTAATGATGCATTTTTATTACAGCCAAAGGAAACATTACGTTATTCTTCGCATTTGGCCTTTTTAATGCAGGGAATTCACCCTGTTGTTTGTGTTAGTCTTGTGGGTTAAGTAGGAAAATTTCTGGATGATTCGCTGTTCTATAACAGCTTAGAGCGTGTCCTAGTTTGGCTTCAGCACTTCTGCACCCCATAGAATATAGTCATCAAGAAGCAACAGTTTCCACCTTCAGCAGGGAGGGAGGCATATTCCCAGCTGTTACCGCATCAAAGCATTAGCCTTCTGCATCTGCTGCATCATTCATCAGCGAGGCGCTTCCAGGCTGTCATTTTAAGTACAGTCATGTCAGGAAAAGTCACTGTCAAATTGCCATCTTCTTGCTTAAAGTTATTGGCTCCCCGCTAATCTGCGTCACTTCTGCTGTAGTATTGACACAACCCAGCCTCTGTGGTGAGCTCCAGCTAGCCGGAGCTGCGAGGGGAGAGTAAGGGCACAGTTGGGTGAGTGTTTGCAATATATCCGTGTGATTGAAAGAATATGAGTGACCCTGCTGGGGGTGGCTGTAGTCAACCAGTTTAACTTCGCGATGAGCAGGAGAAGGAGCACTCTCGCAGTCGGCTGCCACTTCTTGGCTGTGGGGCGGTAACTTCTTAAGCTGCTCATATCGCAGGGCCTCATCCACCTCATCTCTCAGCCGCAGTCTGCCGCTGTTCCTGTGCTCTGGAGGAGACTGGGCTGCCACATCTTCTGGCCCAGGGAGGGAGCTGAAGGATTACATGTAAATCTCTTTGCTGGGTGACCTGCTCGGTACTGGTGGTTTCATCTTGCATACGGTGGTGCCTTGTTCGGGAAGAAAACTCATGCTATAAGTTGCATGGGGAGAGAAGATAAATCTGGACTCCCACTCTGGCATCATTAGAGAGGCACTTCATGACTACAGATGCTCTTTTAATTGGCTGTAATTAGACTTTGAAGCAAACACCCCAGTGAGAAGGAGGGGGGGAAGCACCTTCACACCTGTCTTGCTGCTGCAGTCTGGCTGGCTGCACGACCACGTATGAGGAGTAAGGGCTGGTAATTGTGTTCCAGAGTTACATCTTGGAATACCTGTCGACATTCAGGGGGTATTTCCAATCTCATGGTGGCTCTGGTGGTCCCTGGATGGAACGTGTGTGCTTCAGAGGAAGATGAGACGAAAGATTTGCCTTTTTGATGGGCGTGTGTCAAGGTGGACGGAGCCAGACAGTTGCCCGTACCTGCTGCCTCACTTCTCAGCTTGAGGGCTGGAGTGCTTTGGAGCAGTAACTCGTGGAGCTGCGCGAATGGGGAGCCAGCTGGATGTCTTTGTGATCTGGACACCTGGGGCCTCATTTAGGCCAGCGTGAGTCTGGAGTCGTTCCACTGCAGCCAGTGAGCTTTTCTGGATGAGACAGGGAGTTGTGGCTGCTCGAGTCCGTGGGCTCCCACCAGTTCCTGGTGTGGCGCTTTGGGGCAGTGGCCTTGGGGCTCCCTGCTCTAAACAGAGAGGCTTTGGCAGTTTTTGGTCTGTTCTGTCTTGGGGCTTGGAGTGGGATGGAAAGGAAATTTCGGTGGTAGGCAGAGGTGGGAGAGGTTTCTCTCTGTGTTTTTCTTCCCTGCCTTGTCGAAACCTCTCACAACCACTGCTTGTCCCCTTGCTGAGGTGGGATGTGCCCAGGCGCTCACTAGATGGAGAAACCTGGAACAAAGGGCAATAAAGTGGCCGTGGCCAACGTTGCTGGAAAAGTCTAACCTGGGAGCTGAATTCAGATAATCCTGAGTCTGAGCGGTGCCCAGCTCACCAGACTGAGCTTCTTGCCTCCCCAGTGCCCTCACCTGGCCAGGCTGTTGGGTTGACCCCAAATAGCTCTGCTGGGGCTTTCCTCCTTGGGAGCAACTGTAGGAGACTTGAACAGTCCTGTCTCCAACCGTATCCTTATCGCTGGGGTGCAGAGCAGCACCTCGACATCAGGACCACAGCAGGCTTTCTTTGTGGTGGCAGTGAGCACATCGTCACCCCTCCCAGCAGCAGCAGATGAAAGGGCTGGATGACAAATTATCCATCTCCGGCTGCTCATTGTGTAGCGCATTTCTGCCATCCTTATTAATATTCAACAGGCAGATGAATAATTGGTTGCCACCACTAGGATGAAGTGATCCTTCACTCTGCCCAAGCAATATTAATTTCACACCCTGTCTGGAAACGTATAATATTTTCCTTAAACGTGTGACATATGGCAGGTAGGTGTGGAGGAGGCTCCTGGTGGGCACGGCTGCAGGTGGCTGCTGCCGGGGTGGGACCGCTGGTGGGTTGATCTCTAAATGGGATCAGGGTTCCCCCAAAGCGCTTGTCCCCGGAGGGCTTGATGAGCAGGGCAAAAGGGAATGACACACGGCTGCCTCAGCTTCCTTTTCATTAATATCAGTGTTTGTTTTTCAAAGTATCACATTCCCTTTTCTGTTAGGTGGGAACTTTCCACTAGGCTGGAAATCTAATAGCTCTGAGCATCTCCTCAGCCTGCTCTGCCTGATGCGCTGTCAGGAGCATGACTGTGTCCTTTGTGTCAAGGACTTGTGCTAGACCCTGTTCTCTGCTAGCATCCCTTCCTGCTTTGCCACCGGTGCCGAGGGGGGACTGGGGAGCTTTGCTAACTGGGCAGCTGCGGATTTCTGCCCAGTGGGAGGGACTGGTGAGCGCTGGGCTGCCCCGCTGGCTCTGTGCCCTTCTGCCCGGAGAGGACGGTGCTGCAGGATGGGGTGCCTGCGGGCATCTGCCCCACACAACCCCCCCGGGGTGATGGAGGGATTGAAAGCTCGAAAGGACCTCGGGCTGCCCTGTCTCTTGGTAGACAGCAGAGGTTTCCCTGCTCGTTCCTAACTTGCATGAGAAAATGCAGGAACTTGTTCCCCTCCCTCCCTCTGCCATGCTCTGCTCTGATTTTGCACCTAGGCTGAGCAGGGCTGGGCGACAGCCTCCCACCCTGTCTCTGCAGGGGCTGGGGATGCATCATGCAGCGTGCGCCTTAAACAGACCTGACAGCATCTCTGAAATCCCGTCTCCTGGTTGTATGCGCACTCTGAACCTTTCAGACTCTCGCGGCCTGCCAAGTCTGCATCGATCCGGACAGACATCCCTGTCGCTCCCACCTAACTGGGCAGAGGTGGCAAAGTCCCTCCTGCCAGTTGGAGGGACACGTCTTTGGAAACGGCTCAGGGCCAGCAGAGGCTGTTTCAGGCGAGGATGAGGACGATCTACCCCAGGGGGAGATGTCAGACTTCCCTCAGTTAAGTGCCCGAACTGCCGCCGTGCTGGCTGGCTTAGTTCTTGTTCCCAGCTCCGGCTGGCTGGAGCTGTCACCAGTGAGGAGGCCAAGCATCAGATGGCAGGTGGACAGTGGAGGAGGAGGAGGAGGAAGAGGAGGGGCCGCCACAGGCAAATTGCAAACTCTCCACCGTAAGAACCTATACAGGGTAATGAGCAGCGGGTTTAATGGAGTGAAAGGACTGCAGCGCGAGTGTCTGATAACCCTCTCTCTCTCAACCAGGGGAGCAGAGATCGAAGGAGCTGCGGCAGGAGGGAGCAGATGTCCCACCTGGCACCATTGAGGACTGGCTGGAGAAGAGAGCAAAGAGACTGAGCGCGGCTCAGAGTAACAGGTACTGGTGGCTGGGGAGCACCCCTGTGAGGGCTGGCTGCTGCTTCTGGCCCACACGATGCAGAGGGGGGATCCCACAAGATGGGTTTGAGTGGGATAGGAGAAGGCGCAGGCGATCAGAGGTCCCAACTCGATGGGAGCCCCTGAGCTATCATTTAACACTCGGCCTGCCAGCGCTGCGCGCCTGCTCTTAGCACACGCTACAGACACGCGTATGGATCCGGTCTTGCGTGCCCGCATCAGAGATGCGTGCACGTGTCTCCCCATGTGCCCGGGGGACAAGCCAGGCCTTGCTGCCTGTGGCTGCTTCCCTGGGGAAGGCAAGCAGAGGGTACTCTTGTGCTCTCTGCAGAGTTCACAGATGTGCCTGGAAGGACAGTGCCACTGCGGTGCTGAGTTATTAATGCCCAGAGTTCAGTGGCAGGAGCCGGGTCTCATCTGTTGACAGCTTCCCCATCCTCCGCCTGCCCTGTCTGCACATCTCTGCCAGTGAGAGGGTGGAATTAGCTCCTCCTCGCGGCATTCATTCAGATTCGGGTGCCTGCCGGTGCCTGCTGTTTCCTTGCTCACCTGACTGTGCCGCAGGCTTAATTGGATGACATTTGGGCAGGTGCCAAATCTCTCTTCTGTTCTTTTTCTGTTTGCTCCTGTCCTCTCTGTGTTTGGTCTGGGCAGGATCTTCCTTCTGGTGCTTGTCTGGGCTTGTTGCTTTCTGTTCGCTCCATGCATCAGCTTGGCTGCCCTTAGCCTTGCAGCGGTGCTCACTGACAGCTGTAACCTTCCTACCCCCCGTACACTTCACTTGCCCCATTTTGCTTGTCCTGCCCGTGAATCCCTTGATCTTGGGGTAGATCGTCTCTTACAGAAGATAGCCGTCGCTATACCCAGAGGAATTTCCAGACCTTCGTAACTACTTGGTCCCTGCTGCCTCCAAAGATGCACAAGACCTGGGATTTCTAGGGTTGTTGCTTTCTACCCAGCCTCTCTGTCCCTGCAGGCTCAGAAACCATCTACTACAGGAACTAAACACCAGCTATTCAAAGCTTCTCTTCCTCTATCTGGCCTTGCCGACGCCTGTCCCCATCATTTCTCTTCTCCCCTTGTGCTCTCCAGCCCCAGCATTGCCCTTCTGAGCAACTGTGTGTTTTGCTTTGTCTGCCAGAGAAGTTGTTTTGCATTGCCAGGGAAGAGGGCCTGTTTTAGGCAGGTCCCTGTGCTCCTGGTGCCTGGGGAGTCCGTGTTCCTGCTGAAAATGCTTTTAAGGACAAGGAGCTCCCTCTCCCTCCTGCAGTCCTCGAGGTCCCTGAAATGCAGCAGAATCTCTGGCAGGGTCTAACGGTGCTTTGGGGAATTTGTGGTTTTGGATGATAACCTGCCCAGGGGCTGCCTTGCCTGGCTGGTAATGTCAGTAAAGACCATTAGTCTGCACAAAACCGTAGAGAAAGTGCTCTCGAGGGGCAGTCATCTCCAGAAGGAGATGCTAGAGACCCAGCTCCACCTCTCTTCTCTGGCAGCACTGAGCAGGAAGGATTCAAGCTGGGATGGAAGAGGTCTTGGAAGCGTGATCTCCCAGAGTGTGATGGGAAGCTGTTGCTGTGTTAAGCCTCAGCCTGCGAGCGTAGCTGAGTTTCTGTCTCTGCCTTGCTGGGGGCTTTCTAGCAGGATACCTGGCAGGCAATCGCAGGCGGAGCTACTGCCTTGCGCGGTCTCCAAGTACACCGCAGTGCAAAGAAAATGCCACGCTGGACTAGAAGTGGCCATGTGGCCAGGTACTGCCTTGGCTGAAGGATAGCACTTTCTTAAAGGCAGTAACTTGAGCACCATTTCTGACTGTCACCTAGATGAGCCCCATGGATGGAGAGCTGCCACGCTGCCTTCCATCTGACTGTCACCTAGATGAGCCCCATGGAGAGCTGCCACGCAGCCCATCGTTCGTGCAGCCGCTCTCCCAGCCTGGCTGGGCTCAAGGGGACAATCTTCATTTGGAAGCCTCCACCTGATGCGTATTTTCAAAGTCACGCTGTGCCATTGCTTTCTGGAGAGCTGAGATGGAGTTGGATGGAGTTTGTGTAGCTCTCTTGGCGGTGGAGCTCTGCCAGGGTGTGATTGATTTTTAACCTGATTTCCAAAAGAAATGGAGCATGTCGGTGCACGTGAGTGTGTGCTTCTGCCATAACTGCTGTGGAGCCCACAATCGGCAAGATTTCCATCAGAAAGGGGTCTGAAGCCTCAAAGGTACTGAGATAGTACAGGTTTCATGAGCATGCAGGTGGGTGGAGGAGAGCGATGCCATTAATGCCTTAGAATCACAGAATCACAGAATCATTGAGGTTGGAAAAGACCTTTAAGATCATCGAGTCCAACCGTCGACCCAACACCACCATGTCCACTAAACCATGTCCCCAAGTGCCTCATCTACTCGTCTTTTAAATACCTCCAGGGACGGGGACTCAACCACTTCCCTGGGCAGCCTGTTCCAATGTTTAACCACTCTTTCAGTAAAGACATTTTTCCTCATTTTTTCCTCATTTTTCCTCAATTTTTCCTTCGGAAAGGAAATATTCTTGACCCTTGCTAGACACCCGAGAACCCACATGGGACAGCCATTCCGAATGCTCCAGCTGTAGGTAAACCTTTGATAGCACTTGTATCTTACGAGTACCCAGACAGCATCCTCCCTGTTGGTTAGTTCTGCTGCTCACAGGACAGCTCCTCAGTCGATAGCGGTGCCGTTCCACCTTGCAGCATGCCTTGTCCTGCTCCCCGCCCCGCCATACTGCTGCTGCGGGGGCTCCCCTGCCTGCGGGAGCGACGGTGCCTGGGTGTAACAAAACATATTCCTGCCCGAGAGGGGCTTGCTGTGTGTCCTAGCAGTCTTGTCTCATCCTCGGCTCTGAAGAATCCCCATCAAGGGGATAAGCATTAGACCAAATGACTTTGCTTTGTGTTAGTTGCCTAGAAAACACTGCACTCAACTTCTGTAGCTGGCTTTAAGCCACGTCGTCGGCCCTGCAGGGAGAGGAGGGTGCTGCTTCTCTGGAGCATTATGTAAAGGAGTTTGATTAGATTTCTTCTGGCATAACAATTAAAAAGATTCATCAGGATCGGAGGTAGAGGCCTGAGAAGCTGGAAGGCTGCTGTCAGGGCTTGCGCTAAAGAACAAATGAGTTTCCTGCACTCAGGAATTAATGGAAAAGGTACGTTTGCCATGAATTTAAACCTGCCCCGGCCAAGCACTTTCTTCAGCTGGAGACAAGGGAGGGATGCTTCTTGCTTTTGCACTTCTTCAGTCAGGTGTGTTGTTTGCAGCGGCCTCAACTAGTAAACTTGAGGGAGAGAGGCAGAGAAGAAGTGTTTCCCAGGCTGTGAGTTGGAGGAGGAAGCCTGTTCCCTCTGCTGAAGGGTGCTTCTGTGAAAACACCCCATCGTTTTGGCAGTTCCTCTGTTTCCGAGGGGTCCTTGTCCTTTGGGAAGTGCACAGCTGGCTTGGGATTCAGGCTGCTGGGAAAGAAACATCTGCTAATTTTGTTCGTTCTTCTCAAAAACTCAGCTGTGTGAAGAGTCGAGAGCAGCTGGGGGCGGGAGGGGACGGGGCCCAGCCGTGCTCCCAGCACGAGGCCTCTCCTGCCAGCAGCTGTGCCTGGGGCTGGCGCCGCTGCCCCTCTCGGGGGGCTGCGCCTGCTCTCCTCCCCCCGGCAGACCCCCTTCCCTTAGTGCTCCCACCTTATTTTTCAGCGGCATGCACTACTTTAGCAAGCACCAACGGCTTGAACGGGCTGGGAGGTGGCTGCGCGGCAGTTCTGCTGTTGGATTTGGGGGGGTGTGGGGGTGAATATACCTGCTTGTTGATAAGCAAAACCCTCCTCTGCTGGACCCCTCCTCTTTTGGGGGCTAGCTGGGGGGCACAGGGAAGCTCAGCCCCTAAGCAGGGCCTTGCTATCAAACTGAGACAGCCCCGTCTTACCTCTGCCTCTGCCCCTTCCATCTCCCCACCTCCGCAGCGCTCTGCCTGAGAAACCAGCGCCTTTCCAGTTCCCGCCGGGCTGGCCGCCAGTGCAGGATCTGCCCCCGTCCCTGCAGGCCCCCCCACCCGGAGGGTGGCCAGTCCCCCCCAACCTGCAGTGGGGCTGAGGCGCAGGGACCCCCGCAGAGGTTGTGCTGGAGATGGGCTTCTTCCTCGCCTCCTCTAAGAAAGGGACAGAATTATTTATATACACTTTCATATCAATAAAAGCCTTCCCCCCCCCGTTGCAGCCTGCATGTGTCATGTTATTTCTCGCCTGGCAGCCTCCCGTGGGTTGAGCCGGTCGGGCGGTTGTCTCCCTGCCACCGGAATGGGGATCTGCGCTCAGCAGAGCTCCAGCCTCGTGGGGAAGGGCTGCCTGCTGTCTTCTGGAGCAGACAGCCCCCGTTTCCCGGGGCAGGATCCGTCCCCTCGGACCGCTGCTGTCTGTGCTGTGCCCTGCGCTGCCCGCTCTCAGTCCGGCTCCGCGGCTGGGCTCTATGCGGCTGATCCAGGCCGGGGAAGGAAGCTGTAACCAGGCTTTTAAAATTGATGTTTAATATTTCTTCCAGCGTTTATGACTTATGTTTGCTTCTGTTAAATTCAGTGTGTAAAACTGCTTCGGTTCAGGTGCCGGAGCTCCTAATGGGGACCTTGGGGAGCTCCCGTAAGCCCTCTGCTCCTGCTCCCGCTATGCTGAAGGTGAGAAGCAAAATATCCTGAGGTTTCCCCTGCTCCAGGAAACTAAGTAAATGGTGAGTGCCAGCGGGGCAAATACCTCCGTGGGTCGCTCCTTGCTGCGGGAGCTGGCTGGCCAGGCGCGTGTGCTGGGGGCTCGAGCTGGGAAGGGGCGAGGAAGGACTCCACGGCCTTCTTGCTCCCTGCGGGGCTGCGCTGGGAGCCGAGGGCCAGGCGCAGTGGCCGGGGAGGCCAGCCTGCCTGCCTCCAGCTTTTCCTCTTTACCGCTCTGGAAGGGCTGCCCTGGAGAAGGGCGCTTTTAGGGCGCAGCTTTGGTATGGCCAAGCCCAGCCCAGCCAGAGGCAGGCTGAGAGTTTTACAGTCGTCTCTCCTCACCAGGAGAGGGAGGGATGAACGAGGCCCTTGGCTTGGCTTTCTCGGGAAGGCGGGTGGGTGCTCGGCTTCACCACAGAGCTGCCGGGCGTGCGGGGGATCCTGGCCAGCAGCGTCCTGGGAGAGCAGCTCTCTGGCAGCAGGTCTGTCCAGGACGGCTGCACCCCCTGCCAGTGCATTTCAGGTTTGGCTGCGCACAGAGGCGGGGGGTGCAGATTCATGAAGAACGCAGGCAGGAGCCAGCTGCCTTTGGCCAAATCTCACCTGGATCACGCCGGTGGCTCGGCTGCCCGGGACAGGGCAGAGCTCCCTCCTCGGGGTGTGCGGGCAGATGGTTGTCGGGAGCCGTCAGCCCGAGCACGCCCCATCCTGGGACGCAGTTTTGACACGAGCAGGGGCTGGATGTGACCGCGGCGGGGCTGGGTGCAGAGCTGCGTGAGCCCGGGCTGCAGCGGGGAAACCAGCCTTGGTCGGAGGCTGGTTGAGCTTTAAGCCAAACTAAAGGGTGTTTTTATCCTTCCCGGTGTGACTGCGGTTGTTCTGCTGAGCCCTGTGCTTGGTGGTCCTTGGAGAGCGGGAGCCCAGGGCTTGGGCTCAGAGGATGCAGCATCAGCCCCGTGTCCCATCCTCGCCTCCCCTCGCAGGAGCCGGCACGTTCGGGTAAACAAGAGCACCCATGTGGCACCTATTTGGGGGTAAATCGGAGTCCCCTGGAGGAAAGGGACCCCTGCCCTGCAGGCAGAGGTTGCACAGCTGCAGGAGGCCAAATGGGGGGGGGGAAAAACCCCAAAGGGGCTGTGGGATGCTCTGGAGCGGGGGCGTGAGCTGCCGGGCTCTGCTCTCAGCCGTCGCAGGAGCAGCTTTGGCTGCTCTCTCCAACCTGCTTTGATGTGCATCCCCGCACCCCCAGCACGGCGCAGGGGGAGAGCCCCCCCCGGGGGGAGCCAGGGGCTGCTGGGGGGGCTCAGCCCATCACCCCCACCGCTCCGCTGACTTCAAAGGGTGACAAACGGCTTCGCTGCACGTCTTGAGTCGCTGCCGCGACGTGGCGGCCGACAC